TGCGTACTGCACTTCTGCGCCGAAACGGGCGCTGTGGTCCCTGGCGCGGCGGCGGCCTGCGGCGCCGCGCTGGCTTCGCTGCTGACGCACGCGCGCGAGTCGCTCGCGCAGCTGCCTTTCGTCGCGGCTTCCGTGGCGCGATCGGTTGTCTCGCCCGCGGCGTTTGACCGGTTGTTCGGCGGCCATTGTGCTTCCGAGCGCTTCGCGATTAGCACGCCCGTGTACGTCGCCTGCGTGGTGGACGCGGAGCGGAGCGCCGCGGAGCAGCTCAGCGCGCTCACTGGGGCGCTGCACATCTTCTTTGCAGCCTGCAGTCCGTCTTACCTGCCCTCAATTCTGGTGTGCTTCAAAGTTTGTAGCGACTGCGCCGGGGTTCCGGAGCCGGTGCTCGGGCGTTGTAAGAAAGTCGCGTGGCAGCTGGGCTGTAGTGTGCTGCGCGCCGCGTCTCGAGCGCACGCGGAAGAGGCCAGCACTGACGGCGCGCACCGCGCGGCACGCCCGCAGCTGCGGTTCGACGCCGGCCGCTTTTGTGACGCGCTGGAAGCTGACGCGCCCGCGCTGTCGGACTCGCAGCTGCTGTCGCTGAACGAGTTTGTTAACTACTGTTTTTTAGATGGCAGCCTGAACGAGCTCGTTTTCCCGTGCGAAGTGGGACCGAACGCGCTGACGCACCTTGCGAGTTGCTGCTGCGCGCGAAATCGGTTTTTGGCGGCCCCTGCTAGCTCAGCGTCGCGCAGCGTGATGAGCCTCGTCTCGCGCGTCAGTTCGTTCTTCGCGCGGCCGAACGTGACAGAGGCTTCGCAGGCGGCGGAAGCTGCGCGACTGTGCTCCGCGCGACTGTGCTCCGCTCTGATACGCTCGAAGTTCTGCGTATACCACGGCTGCGTAGACGCGGCCGCCGCGGCGTTGAAGGCGGAGCCGCTGCCGGCCTCGCGAACTGGCTGTGCGGCGCTCGGCCTGTATCTGCTTTGCTCGCTCAGCAAGCTTTCACTCAAGAGCGCAGCGGACGCGTTTTTCGCGCTGCGCGACAAAGTCTCAGTTTTGCCGCGCTTCGACCTGCTTAGCTTCGACTTGTTTTTCCTGAGCGCGCTGGCTGCGGGCTCGCCCGCGCCGCCAGACGCCGACGACCTCGAACCGCTCGCGAGTCTGGCGCTAACGCGGTTTGACGAGCTGGCCGCGAGCGACCCAGCTCTCGTCGCCGAGGCTGCAGAGATCCGCTTCGTGCTGCTCGAGCTCCGGCTGCGGTTCGCGGATCTGCGCAGAAGTGCGGCGCCTGACTCGCTGCGAAGACTCGAGTTCTTCCGCGAGCTAACGTTGCTCAGCCGGATTTCGGCGGAGCAAGTAACCAGCCCGGTCGTGTGCTGGTTTTTAGATTTGTTACTCCGCTTCCAGGTTGAGCTTTTCGAAAGCGTCGCGCCGCTGCGACAGAGAGGCTCGGCTGCGGAGCTGTTTGGCGGGCTGTTGCAGACAGCGTTGGCGCAGCGGTTGCAGGCAACTTGCAGCGCGCTCGCGGAGTGTCCCTGCTCGACAGTCGCTGTAGAGGCGAACTGCTATTTCGGACTGCAGAACGTCGAAGACGCTTTGGAGTGGGCGGCGAGCGCTTGCGTTGCGGTGCGCAGCGTAAATCTGCGACAGCACTGGGACCAGCTCAGCGAGACCGCCGCGCTGCGGTTGTTTGGCGCGCCGGCCTCGAGCCTGCTGCTGGACGCGGGCTGCTATGTTCTGGAGATCGAAGATCTGCGCCGCGGCCGCTTCAACGTAGTGCCAGCGCGCGGCGCAGCCAGAAGCCTGTACTTCGCGAACGCGCCGCTAAAGTTCTTCAAGCGCGAAGACGAGTGGCGCTTCGCCCAGGCGTCGCACGCCGGCGCGCGCGTCGTCACTCTGTCGGCTGTCGAGCCGCGCCTCAAACTGCACTTCGCGTTGCGCGCGGAAGTTGGCGCAAACGTGCTGGTCGCGGAGGCGCTGCTGACGGCCGCAGACGGTGCGCTGTGCGGCCGCAGCGGACCGTTCACTCTTGTCGACGGTTCTGTCGAGCTGGCGAGTTTCGACTTAGGCCCGTTTCTCGCGCAGCGCGCTAACTTTCAGCTCGACGAAATCCAGTTACTGCAATTGACGCTCGCGAACGGCGAGGTCGTGAGCATTTGCGGCGCGGCTGCCGCTGCGCGGGCGCTTTCCGCGCAACGCTACCTTGAGCTGCAGCACGCAGGCCACGGTGCCGCGCGAGAGGCGGGACTCCCGCTCGCGCACTTCAGCGCTCCGTGGCGACTGAGTTGCGAACAGTTTCCGCCTCTCGCGCTGTACATACAGTGCGACGCGCAGTTTGAGCGTCAGCTGTCCACGTTAACGGTTAGCGCAGACTTCGAGTCGTACGCGCTGGTGGCTGCAGATCCATCTGCCGTTGGCTGCTTCTGCGAAAACGGCTTGCGCGGCGCTGCCGCGCTGCAACGCACGGATGCGGGCGGCGCGCTGAGCTTTTGCGTGAGCGCGAAGTCCGTGCACTCCTGCCTGTTCGTTGTTCTCGATTTTTTGTTGAAGTGCAGCAACCGAGAGCTGCGCGTGCACCAAGCGCTGACGTTCTGCCAGCTCGAAGCGCTGCTGCTGTTTGAGCCCTGTCCCAACCAGGACGAGCTTTTGCTCACTAACGCCAGCGCGGAAGTGCTGCAGTTGAGGACGAGGTCCGGCGACGCGTCGCTCGCGCCGCAGCAATCGCTCGTTGTGAATAAGCCGAGTCTCTTTTCAGCGGCCGAGCTAGATTGCGCCGCGGCCGCTGCCGTCCGCTCGCGCAGAGACTTGCGATTTGTGCTTTGCGCTTTGCCGGGCCGTGAGCACATCGTGCTCACAGCGGAGTGCGAAGCGTTCCGGGCGGCCCCGTAGATTATTATTCAGTTATTTGCCGCGCAGCAGCCGCTTTATGCAGCAGAACCAGCGCTCGTACGAGTTGCTTTTTGCGACCGTCAGTCCCGAGTACGGCCGTGGAATCCACGCCGCCGCGGAGATCGCGGCAGGCACCGTAGTGCTCGCGGACTTTCCGTGCGCGCAGGCGCTCACGCGCGAGGCAGTTTCGCGTGTTTGCTGCGTCTGCCTCGCTGAGCCTTCTTCCGGCGCGGCAGAGCGCTTCGTGCCGTGCCGCGCGTGCAACTTGTTCGTGCTCTGCGAGTCGTGCATCGCTTGCGGCGCGCCGCAGCACGCAGCCTCGTTGAGCTGTCAGCTGGCGCAACGGCACGCTGCTGCGCTCGCGCGACTGTCCGACGTGGAGTTTGCGTTTTTCTTTCTCGCGTGCGATTTCCACGCCGTAGCTGACGGCGCCGCGCCGCGTTGCGATTCTCCGCGGTCAGGTTCAGCGCGCACCGGCTCACCGCTGCACTGCGGCGAAAGCGCGAGCGCCGCGGCGACGGCCAGAGAGCTGCTGCGAGCTGGCCCGGGCAGCTCGCGCGCGAAACTGCTCGCGCTGCTGCAAAGTGAGTCGCGAAACAAGCTCGAAGAGATGTCCGCAGATCTGAGCGCGCTGCTGCAGCGCGCAGGCTGCTTCAGAATAGATCAGATGCAGAAGCTGTGGCGCGTCATTCTGCTCAACGCGTTTCTCGCGGCTTCGCCGGCTGGCAGCAGCTACGCGAGCGTGCTGTATCCAAAGGTCTCGCTGTTGAACCATGCGTGCTTGTACAATTGCTACGTGCGTTACGAAAAAGCTGCGACTGCGCAGGGCGCGCTGCGACGCGTGAAGGCCGAAGTCTTTGCTGTGCGCGATATCGCGCAGGGCGAGCAGTTGTTCATCTCGTACGTTGACGTGATCAACTCCGCGGCCGCTCGCAACTTCGTGCTCAGCGAACACTACGGCTTCGAGTGTCGCTGTTTCTTGTGTCAGTGTCCGCGCAGCAGTCCCGCGCAACTGGCGGAGCAGCTGCAGCCGTTCATCGTGTCGCGCAGGTACAAGTCACTGCTGCGCGAAGGACTCGCGCGGTATTGCGACCCGCAACGCGCACTCGAGTGCGACGCGAACGGTGTCGCGCTGTGCGAGTCGCCACTTCGCGCGCAAGTCTTGGCCGCGCTGCAGGCGCCGCCGCGTGGCGACTCAGGGACCAGAACTGCGCAGTTTGAGCTCGCGATGCAACAGGTCGACCAGCTGCGGCAGCTGCTGCACCCGCTCAACCGGCTCCTGTACCGCCAGCTAAACCGCGCATTGGAGCTCGCGGCAGAGCTGAACTTCAACGTTGTGGCGCTGTTGCTGCTCGAGGAGATTTTACTTGTCTTGGTCTGTGTTACGCACCACAACTTGGCTCACGAACAGGTCGTGTACGTGGCTGAGTTGTTCGAAGCCTACTACGTGGCTGTGTACCCGCACAAGCCGGCGCCGAGACTGCCGTGGCTGGAGCGCTTCCGCGGCTGGTTCTCGCTATCGCGCACTGCCGGTTCGCATCGCGCCATTACGTGAGGACGAGCCTGCTGCGGAGCAGCCGCGCGGCTCGATCGCGAACGGTTGCTTCGGTTCTCGTCGAGGCGGCGCGCTCACGCTGAGCCCTTCGTGCGCAGCGTTCGGGGCTCCAACAAACACCGGTACTGCGACTCATTTTCGCAAACTTACCGTGCCGGACAAACGTCCGCGTGACCGTTTTGGGCACCACTTTGTACACGTTCTTTTGGACGGGCTGAATCAGCACTTGGCTTTTGTACTGAGCACCTTCTTCGCGTGAAACAATGAGGTGTGCCGGGAACTTGCCCGAAGCTTGCCGCGAGACGATCAGCTGCCAGACCTTGTCAGTTTTTCTGTCGCGCAGGTACACTAGCTTGACAGGGTCGCCCGCTACGCTTTTCGTGGTGCGGATATGGAGAATGCGCGAGTTGAGAACCTGTTGCCGCGAGCTGCAAACGTACTTTCTTTTCAACAACTTGCGCGTCGGAGTCCTGCGTCTTGACGGAAAGCGAGAATTCGCCGCGCTGCTGGGAGTCCATCGCAAATTTTTGTGCACGCATGTCGCAGCATAATACGTGGCATCGGTGAAAGGTTAGGCTTTGCTAACAATGGGTATACGAAAAATATAACTATGCCGAGATCTGGCTAAACTAACAGGCAAGAGACTGCGGTGGGTTGCGGCGACTGGGCTCGCGCGGCACGCGCGCGGCGCTACGAGATCGTCGGTGAAGACATGAAGAAATTCACGTTCTTATTCAAGTCATTCTCTTCATATAGCGCGCGCTGTGCGTCGCAAGCTACATAATCGCTGCGAGCGACGCTGTCGCGGTAGAACTGACTCAATTCTTTCAGTTGCAGCGGGGAGGGCGGCAAATCGGTGACTGACGCGGGAGTTAGCTTCTGCGTCGAGAGTTTCTCCAACACCGCGACCGCGGTAGCGTCGTCATGCGCTGCAGCCGGCTGCGCGCCGCGGCGCGCATAGCTTGTGTGCGGTGCAGAGACTGCCGGCACGTCGCGCGTTCCTTCAGCCGAGAGCTTGCGCGCGATGTGGCGCAAGTGGCACGAGCGGTATACCGTTCCGTGCTGCAGCGTCGGCGGAGCAGCACAGCTGAAGAACGACGGGTTTACGCGGTAACCGGGATGCAGCGAGTTCAGAATCTCGAGCCGTGACCGCGCTTTCGTCATGCTCGAGAGGAGCTTGTCGTCGGCGGTCGCGGCAGGCGAGGCGCAGTCGCTCCCAGCTACGTCAGCGGAGGTTGCGGAAGAAGCTGAGGCAACTTCATAAGCGGCGTTCTGCTGCGCAGTGCGTGCAGCAACAAAGGGGACTCGTTCGACCGTCGCTGCTGAGCGTAGTTCAATGGACTGCGGCTTCGCGACTCGCTGTTGCGTCAGTCGCCGTTCATTCGGCTGCTGTTCAGCTAGCCGCTGTTCAGCTAGCCGCTGCTCAGCTAGCCGCTGCTCAGCTAGCCGCTGTTCAGCTAGCTGCTGTTCAGCTAGCTGCTGTTCAGTTAGTTGCTGCTCAACTAGCGGCTGTTCAGCTAGTCGCTGCTCAGCTAGTAACTGTTCAGCTAGTAACTGTTCAGCTAGTAACTGTTCAGCTAGTCGCTGCTCAGCTAGTTGCTGCTCAGCTAGTTGCTGCTCAGCTAGTTGCTGCTCAGCTAGT